TAAGAGTTATATAATATGCTCAAATTGTGATAGGCCCAGTATTAAATAACTCAAATTCATCTACTTCACGTGGTTTTAAGGTTCCTACTTACCCCACAGATTATATATTTTTACGTCAACTTTTCAATATTCCTATATTATTTACATGTATTAATTTCAATAATCCAACTTCTTACAAAAATACAATTTGTAAAATTTAAAATTATATTTTTGATGACGTAAGGTTTGTAATCAGTGCAAACAAATAACAAGTATTCATGAAAGTATAAATTGATTTAAATGTTCACCAATCACGAAGCTTAAACATTTGCTGACCATGTGTTCCCGCCATAATTACCAGCTGTTTCCGTTAGATCTTGGAGTCACGTGATCGACGTAGTTCTATTCTTCCCGCGCTTATCTCGCCCTGACCCATATCTCGTAATTGGGGTTGATTATTTAGTACTCAATCCCAGTAGCCGTTAGTTCTATAGCGTCTGGAGATAGCAGGGACGTGCCTATAGTGTAGGTCAGGAACGGCGGCATCCATAGAGTACGGGGAAACATAGTCCATAGAGTATACACTAGCTGTGGCAACAATAGCTTATACTGGAGAGTGAAACTAAACGTATGTAAACAGGTTAGCAACAGGTTATGTTGTTTGATTCTAAAATGGATATTTAATCTACATGGCCCAGATTTAGATTTTTTTACACCACGAAAATAAGTGGCATGGATGAATAAGTGTGATATTATTCAATTTATATTTGTTTGTTTTGGTCGTCATGCACTATGGAACGAAATAAAAAGATGGCATGGTTAAAACGTTTTCGCCTCTTCAGTTTGGAATGAGTAATAGGGTTTGTGGGGGAAGGTGGTACCATTGGTACTTTCTGTTGGGTTAGTAAACCATTAGGAAAGTATAAGCTACTCGCCGGCGTGTAAGAAGCCGGCGAGTTGGCGAGTGTGCTTGTATTCGTTCACACGGAGCTTGTCCGCTCGCCAACTCGCAGACGTGTAGAAAGACGCCGGCGAGTCGGTGAGTGCGCTTGTAGTCGTTCACACGATGCTTTTTCCACTCGCTCAGTAGCTGGCTTGAACCAAATCCTCCAACATCTTTGAGTAACAAGCGCACAAGCACAAGCAACTGTGTTCACACTGGACTACTTTACACGCCTACTTGCTCAAAAGCTGGCGGCAGCGTCAACTTTTTCCAGAGCTTTTTTACAAGCAGCTTTTGAGTGAGTACGTCGTTTACACTGAGCTATTTTACTAGTTGCGTGTAAAAAAGCTGGCGTGTAGCTTGTAAACTCGCCCCGTGTGAACGGGGCTTAACTGACCGAGTGTCCCAACAGAAAGTACCACAGATTCAGTGGTAAACATCTGTTTAGTAAAGTAACTACTAAAATTTCAAACTATAATTCCTCTGTCGTTGAACTTATTCTTCCACAGCAAATGTCAGCATAAACATGAATTAAATGTATCATCCGATTTATTTATAAATGACACAAGATGAACAAGATGAAATTCCTTACGATAATATCTTATCACCCATTACTAATCAGTTTTTACTGCGAAACTATGGGATATCGTTATTCTGAAAAACAAATTAACGAATTTATAAAATAAGTTCATTATTTAAAAAACAGACCACAAGAACAATATGCAGTTGTATTGGCATGTACAACTATTTTATTTTCCGAGAATTACAACTATATTTGGAATGGTGTAGAAATGGTGTTGAATGGTAGAATAGTATAGTCGAATTAGATTGGAAAAGTTTTGCTCTAAAACTATACATTCCGCCAATTTTCTCATGACTCTGGCTGATCTTTTGTCTTACTACAAAGGATAGTTTACTATATTGTGGATACTGATAGTGCTAGCGTAGACAAAATAACTTTACTTTACTGTCTGTGGTAGTGGTGCTATACAAAAGAACAAAGCTGTAGTAAAAAATCGAACAATAAACAATATTAAGAAATTTGTCATGAATACAAGAACAGTCACAATCAATGCTTCACAGTTCATCTATAGAAGACTCATCTTCATCAGAAGACTCTTTAACACGATATTCAAGACTAATGTACTGTATGAAATATATAAAAAAATACCAATTCAAATATAGTATCTCATGTGAACTAATTGTATAAAAAACAGTATAGGAAATAATAAAGGTTAACAATTTGCACAAAACAAATGTTTCAATAATATTTAATAGTACAATTTTGTACTTTATTGGCGCCTTCAATGTTACAATATACACAATGCCAACAGCACAACGCATAGTTGAGATCTATGAATAGAAACAGGCGCTACGTTGAACGACGATTATCTATACAGTATCATTGACTATATAACACTACCACCAAATATTTGATATCAATAATTAATTGAATAATTTGATATCATCAAATTTATATTTTATAAGTTTGTTAAATCTCACATGTTAATCAGTGAAAGTTATGATAGCATTGTTCAAGGCATATAACCAACAAACCAAGTGAGATAATTCGTCTACTAGGTTAATACAAGTTTTGTTATAAATTATGTTAATTATTATTAAAGTTGTCCTAATCACAGAAATGAAATATTATATTTTCATCGAGATACGAAAGAAACCCACTTCAGCTTTATTTGAATTGGTAAGATAAACATTATGAACATGTCATCTTCTTTTACAACAAAGCAGGGCTGTCGCACGAAATATTGGAGAGATGATACACACTTTGACTTGCCCAACTACAATTACTGACTCGAATTTCTTATAATAATAGTGAGATTTCCCAACTAATGAAAATTAAATTTAACATAAATATAATATTTTACCTATAAATCCTCTTTATAGTTAACTAATCGAACAATAAGAAATTGAGATTTCTAACACATTATTCAGTTGACTGTCCCTACAGTACAATGTTATGATCAATGATATGTTCAGTGATTTTTAATTCGGTGAGTCGATGGATACGGCCATAGATTAAACATACTCCCTAAGGGAGTATGTTTAATCTATGATACGGCTCTCCATGCGCAGCTAGTAATAAAGGAAATTCCTCCAAAAAAAACCCTTGAATTACTGTGTACTACAGATACCTTACGTGATATACTGTAAGCTAGTTATTCAAAATTTCCAGCTCTTTTTTCATTTTTTAATTAATTTATGCAGAAGAGTTAGGTAAATGTCTGCTTATTAACAAAATTTACCTTTAAGTTGACAGTTTAACGACAGTTTCAAACTTCTCAAAATCTCATAGTTTCAAATACCTAAAAATGTCCAACTTCATACCATTGACAAAAAGAATTAAATTATTCAATTCTTTTTGTATATGTTTATACTTATCAAAGAAATGATTTGGGGGGGGGGGTCAACCCTAAATCTCTTTGGGTGACGCCCCTGCAACAATGTAAAACAATTTCAACAGACATTACCAATGTAAACAAATCTTCGGTTATATTAATGTCCTATTCTGTTGTTCGTGTTCTTGAAATAGTTGTTTGTATTGTAGCCTATTGTTCGTTTCATTTCTTGGGCTAACTGTCCAAGAAGTCAGTCCAAGAAATGAGACTTAAGACCTAAAAATAAATACTTCTCTCTATGACTCCGCCGCGTGTCCACCGTTGCGTTGTGCGATTGACTCGACCGCGATACCAGTGACCGAGTATACTTTTACCTAACCCGCCATGTTAAACTTCCCTATCCCAAGCGTGATGTATACAACTTCCTACTTCTCGAGTGATGTAAAGTTGAAAAAAACTCACTCGGGGATGTAATGAAACCCATTTAAATAACATTGAGTGGATAACTTAAAAATATACCTCTATGGAGCCAACGACGTTCAACGCTAGAAACCAGCTGTGTGTTTGAATTTTATTGTTATGCTTTGAAGAATTTTCCTCACCTAGCTATTGTTTGTAAATGAACGTTACTGTTGGAAAATGAGTGAAATTGATAATGAAGCATATTGCTCGTAACTTCCTGAATATTGTCGGGTCAGGTAAAATCTTGTACGTTACACGTTACGCAAGAGCGTGTTTACATCACTTCGGTGAATTATGCATGCAACTCGCCTTCGCTCGTTGCACAACATTCACCTGCGTGATGTAAAAACGCTCTTACTACACTTGTAATGTAAATAGCTATTACATATACAATATAGACTGTAGTGTTAGTGATAAGGAGATGAATTCACAAGAAGATGCCACACAAGGTGGCGAAATGCATAGGGCGACACAAATCGTACTCAGGCAACAACAAAAGTATCAAATATACTCTCATTCAGTGCTACCCTTAATTATATCGGAGGTCTGCATGATTGTTGTAACGGGAGTATCATATACTTCGGTGAATTATGCATGCAACTCGCCTTCGCTCGTTGCACAACATTCACCTGCGTGATGTAAAAACGCTCTTACTACACTTGTAATGTAAATAGCTATTACATATACAATATAGACTGTAGTGTTAGTGATAAGGAGATGAATTCACAAGAAGATGCCACACAAGGTGGCGAAATGCATAGGGCGACACAAATCGTACTCAGGCAACAACAAAAGTATCAAATATACTCTCATTCAGTGCTACCCTTAATTATATCGGAGGTCTGCATGATTGTTGTAACGGGAGTATCATATATTTTTATTTGTACTAGGATTAAACTGTGATGGCATAGATTAAGAATACTCAAGCAGTCTTAATCTACGATACTAAGTTGGCCAGTGGCCATCTAAAACAGATTATACTTAGTAACTCACAACGCCTCTGTCCAGTTATCTGAATTCCCTGGCATACTAAAATACTAAAAGGGCATTCGCCACCACTTATTACATCAAAGGTGAACTAAAATACAAATGCATTTTAGAAATATAAATTTCTTTACAGACTGTGTGTGATAGCGTTGATTATGGTAAACTTGTTTGAGTTTATTATTGCCTGTTGCTAGTCTTTGCTTCTGTGTTCTTTTGTCAGCGGTCTGTCTGTATGTTTGTTTGTCTGTGTGTCTGTCTGTGTGTGTGTGTAGGGTTCAAAGATGGCGTCAGCTGTGCCTGTCGTTGCTGGTGAGATTTTACAATTATTTTTACATTTTGTACAGTAAATACCAGAGATTTAGACAATTTATTAAACATTTTGTAATAATATAAATTAGCACTTTTAAAATCAACCCATAACTTTTGTTTTATCAAGACAGTTTATTTGTTACTGTTGTAAATATGGTGTGTCACATTTTCACTGCAGCACAAAAATTCTAGTGTGTGCCAAATTGAAAGTAGTTCAATTATGCAACGTAATCAAATATCCAACTTGAATGAAGTTGTCTTATCTTACTTCAGCATATAAAACTTGAGAAACATTAATTAAATATTGATTCACTTATCTTGGACTGTTTATAATATCAAACATTTCTCTAATTGTTCATTGTAATGGTCCATTTATTAGAGGTTATCACTTTTGGAATGATTGTGTAGGCCTATTAATAAATACACAGAGGATACGCGTCCGGTAACCAGACGTGGATTAGGCGTCCGGTAACCGGACGTGGATTAGGCGTCCGGTAGGGGGTCCCGGAACGCCATTACCACAATGATACGATGTTCAGCCATCAGTGTTGGTGGTGTAGTGGATAGAGTGCTCGGCTGATATGCGAGAGGTCCCCGGTTCGAAACCAATCGGTATCTTTAACTTTTTGTCACAGATTTTGCTTTGAATGTAATTTCTTCTTAACTGTACATCTTTTGTTAGAATTTTCGGCATTTATAATTTTATGTTATGAAGAGAATTGAACCTTCATTTGATTTTTTCACTATCAGCAAGTTTGGTTGGTTAGGTTAGGTTATGACAGTAACTGCCGGACGCCTAATCCACGTCCGGTTACCGGTCGCGTATCCTCTGCGTAATAAATACCCTAACATAAGTTAGGTGATGTAGTACAGTATAGGTAGTTGTTTTAACACCGTATGGAAAACATTAAAATATGCCGATAGTTAGGCTATAATAAAGCACTTTGTTCAGGCAGGGGCGCCACTGGAATTTTTGGGGGGGGGATTTTTTGGATAGATTTTGGGGGGATATCTTTCTGCTAGGTGTCATAACTTAATGCGTGTAATTTTGTATAAGCAGCCCGAAAAAGTGTTTCTAAGTAGGCCTAGTTAACCCACCAACAACATTTTGCTATTTGTAATTAAGATTAGGCCTACTTCTAAAAATGGTAAAAACGCACCATGCCAGACAATCCACATGTACAGTAGTGTCAAATTTTACTTAGCCTACTATGGTACATATGTTTTGGTGACTCTTTAACTCCACTACCGTCACGCAAAAATGATCCACTTCTGAATTCGTCGTCAGAATACGGTAGCCTAGTTACTACGTTAAAAACATTGTAAACAAAACATTTAACGATTACAGATAGGCCAATCAATTCATGTACATTGCCGCTGGCAGGACTGGAAGTAAGTAAACTGAATCAGGTTATGGCGGACTGACGTGGTCTCTGGATTGTCGTCTGCGTTATCAACAGCTGTTATTGGATTATTTTAGTGACTGAATAGAGTGTTGAGATTAAAATGGGATTCATAATTAGCCTAATTGAGTGTTTTCATACAAAATTTCTGTGCCGTTCGAATAGTTTTTTACGTCGGTCTTTAACTTATATATTTCAAACTCTTTCAAAGTATTTAAGTAATAAATTTCCGTTCCCGCAGTAATGTAGAATGTCGAGACCATCATTTAGGCTACATCCAGCATATCATGGTTATTATTATTGTCAATAATAACAACAGAAAAAAAAAAATTTTGAATGGAAAACTCTGTAATTCTGAGCAATTAGCCTACTTGGTCAACCCCAATTTTTTTCATATTTTACTACCTACGGTCATCAGGATGTTCTCAGAAAGTAAGAAACATATAATTCAAGCCCCGCAAGGCTATCATACAGGTTGCCGAGCGATAAGACGGTTCAAAGTCCAAGCGATAACGGTGGCTTGCGAGAGACGCGTGGAAGGCCAGTTGTGACAGTACCGCTATGGCTAGTGGTTCCTCCGATAATCCTTTTCTATGTGACGGCGTGTGAGAATACGTTAAGCCTAGCCTACTTAGTTTTGAACACTGATCCAGTTGCCGCTGATTCGTATGAGGACGTCGAAACCAGCGATTACTAAGGTAATTTCTATTTGTATATAACATATATTAATTTTCCGGGACCTAAATTATGTTTTTTTTTAGTTTTACATACATCTCTAAGGCCAATTGTGACAGTACCATTATTTATGTTAGGTTAATTAATAACCTAACTTAACCTAACCTAACACCCGTCACATAGAAAAGGATTATCGGAGGAACCACTAGCCATAGCCATAACGGTACTGTCACAACTGGCCTTCCGCGCGTCTCCCGCAAGCCACTGTTATCGCTTGGACTTTGAACCTTCTTATCGCTCGGCAACCTGTACGATGGCCCTGCAGGGCTTGAATTATATGTTTCTTGCTTTCTTGGAACATCCTGATGACCACAGTAAAATATGAAAAAAAATTGGGGTTGACCAAATAATTGTTCAGAATTACCGTAAACTCAAATATGAATCCAATTATATTTTTTACACTTTCCTCCATCACTAGAATTATTCCAATATAGTCTAAGCTGTTGATAGCACAGACGATAATCCAGAGACCATGTCGGGTCCGTCATAACCTGATCCAGTTTACTTCCGGTCCTGATAGGCATATCTGTAATCGTTTTGTGTTTTAAGTTAAATATTTGTAATGTATTCTGACGACACCTTCTTAAGTGGACCATTTTGTAAGCCTGATAATGGTGGAGTTAAAGAACTGACAAAACATAATATGCTACACATGTTAGGCCTATGTAGCAAGTAAAATTCGACACTACTGTACAAATTAAGAATTGTCTGACAAGATGCGTTTCTACCAATATTTAGGACACAAGACTTGGGCTAGTTATGTCACTAAAGAAATATATTTAGAGGTCCAGGGTGGCTAGTGACCTGGAAAACCTGGAAATGTCAGGGAATATTAAATATCTGGAAAAGTCATGGAAAAGTCAGGGAATTTTGTCATAAGTCAGGGAATATTGTAAAATGTTTAAAATAATTTTAATAATTGTTAGGAAAGGTCGATCTGGTGAGAGTACGTATGCCGTGTGGGTGAAAACTAAGAAATATGTCTGTACAAATAAATTTTGTATTTTTGTACAAATTAAATTTTGTTATAAACTGCATATCATCTTATCAAACTCAGTTTAATTTTATTAAGGCAAGTTGCAAAGTTTGAATATAAGCTAGCCTGTATCAATACATTTTATGTATTTTTTTGAAACATAAGATATTCTTCAGATAAAGATTAGTCCTTTTAAAGAATTGGTTAGGATTAAAATTGTAATTTTGAATTTGTCGATCAGGGAAAGTTAAAAAAATCACGGAATTGTCAGGGAAAAGTCAGGGAATTTTTCAATGTGATTTCACTAGCCATCCTGGTAACTCATAGATGGTTCCTCACAAAGTTCAATGTAGCTTATGCCACCTTGATGTTTCTATTTGTACACATCTGGCACACCTTTTGAGTACACATTTATATTATCTTTTAAGTACACGACCCTCAAATATTATCTTAGGGTCTAGCTTAATCAGAATCCTAATTAAAACTGAGGTTTTACTTTTTAATATTTTATAGTATGCTAAACTATTCTCACTTGATATTGGTGCATTGAACTTGTTTGCGAATCGTACAGTACTTTAAAAACACTACTTAAATAAATAAATAATAAATAAAAATGCCTTTATTGATCAAGCATTTCTCAGTACAACTACTTTTCAGAACAACTCTCGTCATATTATAAGTAACGATAACTTATAACAAACAATAACTAACAAACAAATAAATAGAAACAATAACCAAACAGAAACAAGAAAATCTAAATAACAATTAATCATAACAGTACAATTTCTTAATTTTGGCTCTAAAAGATGGCAAGGCATATTTTTTGAGGCCAGAGGGGAGGTCGTTGTACAGCTTTGGGCCGAAGTACGAAAAGCTTCTACTTCCAAACTCAAGCCTCACTCTTGGAAAGTGAAGCTGGAGACCTCCATGGCAGGTACTGCGCTGAGAGACCTCCTCCCGGAAAGAGAGCCTCTCAAGATGGTACTGTGGCTCCTGTAGGACAAGTATTGGCTCCTGTAGGAGACAATATGTAAACACCGACAGAACCAGTGACTGCATGAGGCGTAGCTTTGCAGATTCTGGCAGCAGACTTCTGAACCTGTACAGCACTCTCAGCCTACCTAACGCACGCTGCGAAGCATGTGTGACATGGTCAGAGAAGGTGAGGCTGCTATCAAGCACAACGCCAAGAGTCTTTGACTTGTCACACAAAGTCAAGGGCTCACCGTTGAGCACAACACTCACTCCTGTCTCGCTGAGGAACTGCACCAAGTCACGTGGCGCCGTATGCATCACAGTACACTTGCCAGTATTGAGTTTCAGCCCATTTGCCTCTGACCACCATAGGATTTTTTCTAGATCAGAGTTTATGAAATTGAGTGAAGCTCGCATTTGGGACGGCTCATAAGACTTTGAAATGTAGTGGTAAACTCATGAAGAATAACTCCCATAGAACACTCTTACCATAATTCCATGGAAGATATTTCTGTAATTTTCCAAAATATGAATATTGATGATATTACCCTAATGATATTAGGGTATTTTTAATGAGAAAGTAATGGAACGTTTGCTGAAATAGGGGGACAGTTAGTTGGGTATTATTTGTACCTCTTAAACTCTACTTTTATAGCCTAACTGTTTTTTTAACAACATTCAAAGGTTCCATAAATACTTTTATGGAACCTTGTACAACGGACTTGTGGATGACATAAAGTTTTTGTTTTCCAGTGAGGGGGTCTACAGGCATTAGCGTAAATCAGGGACCTCCTAGCTACGAGCTGGTCTCTGCATTCAAACGAGATGACAGCAAAAACTGCCGATGTATGCTGTTTAGCCCACACGGAGAATACTTTGCCTGGGCCAACGGTATCAAGTAAGGACCAGTCTACAAAATCAATTTGAATTCCTGTAGTAGTGTATCCAATTAACTAGAAATCATGAATTCTTTTAATGATCGGAAAAATGTCAGTGAAATGTACTTGATTTTTGTTAATGTGAATTCAGATAGTGTAGCCAATAGCAATGCTAAGCGTCCATTATCAATGATATCCTGTTCTATTTTAATGTTTTCTGCCAAATGGTCACATAAATTAGTGGTGATTGCAGGAGATTATCATGGGCAGTTGGGTGATAAAAATCAATGAAAAGTTTTAGAATTGATTCAAAATGTAGTATTAAATGATATTTGAATAGATTTTCACAGTAGGCCTAAATATTCCTCTCAAACATGATGATTGGGAAAAAGTCAGTGAATTGTAGGGTACATGATTTTTTTTGTGAATTCAGATAGTGTAGCCAATAGCAATGCTAAGCGTCCATTCACAATGATGACATCCTGTTCTATTTTAATGTTTTCTGCCAAATGGTCACTCACAATTTAAGTAAGTGGTGATTGCAGGAGATGATCATGGGAAATTGATTGATATGGGAGTAAAAAGAGTTTATAAATTCAATGAAAAGTTTTAGAACTGATTCAAAATGTAGTAACTTAAATTATATTTGAATTGATTTTCAAAGTAGGCCTAAAGATTCCACTCAAACAAAAATTGTACTTGAATGTTGATTTAGGTTCTGAAATTTGGTTGAGATTTGAAATTCTTGGATTTAACCCCTATTTATGCCTGTAACGGCAATGAACCAAAACCCAAATTTACCATCAATAGGGCTAATCCAAATACCAAAATGTTACATTATTTTAGTGACTGATGTAGCTCTATTAATGTTTATCAAAACTTACTAAACTTCACATTTTTGTGCCTTAAACTTTTTAATGTTTTTTATTAGCCTACTCATAGTTGATACTCCTAAAATAGTATTGTTTTCTGCAGTATTAACATTGTGGCCACCAAGACCTGGACCCCCTTGGCCTCCATCCCCTCGCCCAAGACTTACTGCATCCAGTTCTCTCCCCGTGGCACCTACCTCATGACCTGGCAACCTTTTATTGGTAAGTTAACTGTAGTAAGTTGATTGACACCTAGGCCTACACATTAGACTATCGATGAAACTACATTTAATTCTCATGATTCAAGATTCAAGATTCAAGATTTATTGAGCCGTTCAGTTTATAACAATTGGCCAAGTCACTAACACTAAACTAAAATACAAAACAGAGATGCATTCCTCTTGATTCACAAAACAATGTCCAAAGAGCACATACAAATGTCCAAAGAGCACACCATGCATAATAGATAAATAAATAAAAAAACTGCAAAACAAAACTGTAAAACATGCAGCGGAGAAAAAAATATAAAAATTAACAAAGCAGAGAAAAAGCAAAAAGGAAAACTTAAAAAAAAAACCACACTCATACCTGTAGGCAAGGTTTAGGTAGTATAAATATATGTATGTATTTTTGTTTTCTTTATTTCTTTCTAATTCATTGTGTGGGTATCTGAATTCCAGAACTCCTGCAAGGAGTAAAATGGGTTTGCCACCAACCAATCCTTAACACACCTAGCAAAAGCTTTTGCAGGTTTCCTTCTTACTTGCAGAGGTATGGTGTTAAAAAAGGCTATACCTGCAACAGGAGAAGAATTCAAAGTTTTGGTTAGCCTAACCCTATGTCTATGTACATTAGAAGAGCTCCTGGTTGCATGGCTATGTACACTACTGTTCAGACACATTGTGTCTTCCTGAGCCTTAATTTCTAATAAACATTGATAAATATATACATTATGTACAGACATTATACAGTTTTCTGTTAACAAGGGTTTGCAATGCGCAAGCTGCTGGGCTCCGCAGAGGACTCTGACAGCTGTTTTTTGCAAAAGCAGAACTTTTTCTACAGCAGGCGCATGTCCCCAGAGTCTAGTGCCATACTGTAGGTGGGATTGGAAAAAGGCCATATATGCGAGACGTACAAACTCCTGGGGCATGTCAGCTTTTAGACGTCGGAGTAGGTATATTACCCTACTAAGTTTGTTACAAATTTGTTCGATATGGTTTGTCCAATTTAGCTGCGGGTCAAGTACAAAGCCCAGCAGCTTGGCAGGCTGATCAAAAGCATTAGGCTTTTTCTTAGACAGACTAAATGTAATGGTTTGAGTTTTTGCTTCATTTAGAGTCAGTTTGTTCTCTCTGAACCAAACAGAAGCAGTTTCCAACAACTGCTGGACTGCAGCCCTGGAAACGCCGAAATCACTGTCACCAGAAAAGAGAGTAGTATCGTCAGCATACAACAGTACATTACCAGCAACTCTGAGATATAGATCGTTCATTGAAACAATGAAAAGAAAAGGACCCAGTATAGAGCCCTGTGGTACCCCATACTTAACATTAAGCTGGCCTGAGTTGCTTCCATTCCAAGAGACAGTTTGCGTTCTATCAGATAAGTAAGATCTGAGGATTGAAAGAGCATTACCCCTCACTCCATATTTTTCAAATTTAGACAGTAAAAGATTGTGGGACACACAATCGAACGCACGAGACAGATCACACATCATTACAGATAGAGAATTCTTAGCTTCAAAGGCGTTCAGAATAGTTTGTACAAGGAAGTCTACTACCTGGACAGTGGACTTTCCCTTTCTAAAACCAAATTGAGCAGGGGTGAGAAGGTTATGCTCCTCAAAGTAGGTATACAGCTGCTCAAGCATAATAGCCTCAAAAATTTTGGCAAAGATAGGAATTATAGATATTGGTCTATAGCTTTTGAGATCATCTTTTGGGCCCTTTTTGTAGATGGCGACTGTTCGGCTAATTTTAAGAGTTTCAGGAAAAACACCTTTTGCAAAAGATGTGTTAACAAAATGAGCTATCATAGGAGCAATGACATATACAATTTTCTTTAAGAGCTCAACATTCATATCATAATAATCTACACTCTTTGAGCTTTTAAAAGGTTTCACAATCTTAATTACAGTCTCAGGACTAACAGGATGCCAGGTGAAGGACTCTTGGGAAATAGGTATAGAATCAAGGCTAGCAGGATTGGTTTCATTTGGTCTGGAAGGTATACAGTTTTTAACCAGATCATCAACAGACTCTACAAAAAATTGATTAAATTCATCTGCACTAGAAAAATCTCTGGGTGGGTCAGGAGTAGGACCTTTTAACCTTCGTATGTGATCCCACGCAGCCTTACAGGGATTGGGTGACTCACAGATGGAAGTGGCCACTGCTACCTGCTTGGCTTCCTTTACCCTGGTACGGTACTCCCTTCTCAATCTCCGGAGTTCAGGCAGTAGGTGGGGCATGCTTTTGGACCAGTCAGCAATAGCTAAAATGAAGTTCTTAAACTGGGCAAGTTCAGGGGTGTACCAGTTCTTTGACTTAGGAACACCTCTACTTACACCTATAGGCTTGGATTTGGATGTTTTATAGACAAGAGGAAAGCAAAAGTCAAAAATATCTTTAAGGCTTTTAAAGAAGCTGTCAAAAGTCAAAGTAAAACTTTGTGATAATATATCATCATACCATACTATGGCCTGATTTGTTAAGTACTCCAAAAACCTGTCTGTGTTCGTGTCATTAAGTACCCTGAAAGAGACAGTTCTAGTAGGTTTAACCACTTGCTCAGGTTTTGGGCTTAATTTGGTCAAGTCTAGTCTAAAAAACACATGCTTATGATCAGATATTTGGTCAGAGCTAACACAGGCACTGTAATTCCAGCTGTCAATATTAGTTATGACAGTGTCCAATGGAGATTCTCCCCTGGTTGCCTCATCCACACTAAAAAAAAGGTTAAAGCTTCTCAGAATGTTTGTAAAGTCTTTTACCTCGTTGGGGTAGTAGCGGGGATTTACATTGTGATCATTACCAATTATGAGAGAGAAGTTCAACGTGACTAGATAAGTCAAGCATAATTCAAATAAGTAGAAAAACCTCTCAAAACTACCATTAGGCGAGCGATACATTGTGACTATTATAAGGGTTAAGTCAGGGATTATGATACCTGTAAACTCACCATGCAATTCTTCACAGTACATACTCAAATCCAGTGGTAAGTATTCCCATTTTCTATGAAGATAAATAGAAACACCACCCCAGGGAGTAACACGACAATAGCTAGAAACAAGATTAAGGCACGAGATATTTGAGTAAAAGTTTGTCTCTTCATTCAGTAGCCAGTGTTCAGAAACGCAGAGAGCATCCAATTTATGCACATCAGAGAGAATCTCGAGTTCATGAGTTTTATTTCTAATACACTGGATATTGATAGCACATACATTGAAATGAATAGGTTTACTAACTTCAGGATTAGTCACAGCCACACTCAAGTTTTTTATTTCATTATATTCAGGTCTGTGAAAATCAGTGTGTTCAGGTTTACCCAAAATAGGCTCTAGGAGTAAGCTACACTGTTCAGTCCCTTCCCTAAAAAAGTACGAGAGCGAGTAGCACTTCTAGGTAAAAATTCACGTACCAATGTTCCACTAGGCCAAAAGCTAGGGCTAAGTAATATTGAGGTTAGGTCTGTGCAAACACCAACTTTAAAAGATTTATACGAGCTGAATCTAGATTTTAGCTCCACACAGTCAGCATTGACACCAGAATCAGTCAAGAAAGTTTCTAGGTCGGTTTGTGTTACTTCTGGGGCCAAACGACTGACAAAAACCCATTCAAGCTTCTTCACTACTTTAATTTGACTCACGTTACATTTAGTACCAATAATAGGTTTTCTCCTGACCGATCGATTTACTATTGATAACGGCTTAGACGGTACAGACTTACCTAGGCTAACAGAAGTAGGTCTTGGCAAATTTGGCACAGAATTAGGCCTAGCTTCACTTACTGTTTGATACTGATCACTTTGGTTTACCGTAGGTATAAAATGATTCAAAACAGTTTGACGAGAGGCTGATAGGACTTCAGAGTACGAGAGATTAGGCTTAGAGGCTACACTGTCAACACGGTTTTCTAAACATTCACTGAATTCAGTAGCATGGTTGAGACATCCAGAATCGTCCTCAGACGTATCAAGAGATTCAATTTTATCAGTAGTCACTAGGCCTACTTCATTGGAGTCCGAAGTGGCAACACATTCACCAAGGCCTATGTTAGGGTTATGTTTGTCAAAAGTGGTATTAATCTTTCCAGGTTCAACTTTATCCAAGTTAGTCGATACAGCTAGGGCTTTGTCAAGTTTTTGATTAATTTCCAAGTTGTTAGAAACTAGGTCCTTTACAATACCAACAAGTTGTTCAACTGTAGTTTGGAGAGCCTGGAGAGGTGCTGTATTACTCCCAGGGACAGGCAGCAACAGGCAGCAGGTCTGACAGAACCAATTTACTCCTTTTATTGGAAGTATAATTTTGAAATTCTCATATTTATCTTCTGATATTTCAATACACTCAATATGGTACCAAATTTCACAAATACCGCCGCACAAAATAGCGGAATGCTTTTTTGTTACACTTTTAGAACAGACACCACACAACTTCTGCTTGCAACCAGTGGCCATGACACTTTTTTTTTCATTTTCATGTTAAAGTTGCCAGTTATACAGACTGTCCCAAAAGTCCCGGACCGGTTTAATATTTTCTAAACGACAACAGATAAATCAATAAGATTTTGCACATCAACACCACACTTAAAAATCTACTTTTTTAAGGAGCTATCAATTTTCTGTCATATCATGGGGACGTCCTACAAGGAGTCAGAAGGAAATCTTAAATAGGAGCATAGGTCAATATGCACATCAGTTAAAAGGCTTGGCTAGCAGAGTTCAATGCCGGAAACCACGCCTCAAAAGGATCACCCGTTACAAAATGGCGGCCGTTCAAAGATTTCTTGAACCTGCCATTTTGAATCTTTGAACGACTGCCATTTTTTACTCAGGCGTTCTTTTGAGCTTGAATTTACGGCATTGTAATCTACTAGTGAAGATCTTTAATTTGATGTGCATATCGACCTATGCTTACGTTAACAATTTGTTTCCGATTCCTAGGGCTGTGCCCCCAAATGCAAATTAAATGAATCTTTAAAATCTTTTAAATCTTTTGAATCTTTTTAAATGAATCAGTTTTTTTCTTTGAACCTCTGTCATTTTTGACTTGGTTGTCCGTTTGAGTTCAAATTTGCAGCATTATATTCTGCTAGTAAAGACCTTTAATTTGATGTACATGTCAACCTATGCTTCTATTTAAGATTTCCTTCTGACTCCTTGCGGGACGTCCCCATGATGTGACAGAAAATTGATATTTCCTTAAAAAAGTAGATTTTTAGGTGTGGTGTTGATGTACCAAATCTTATTGATTTATCTGTTGTCGTTTAGAAAATATTAAACCGGTCCGGGACTTTTGGGACAGTCTGTATAATAAGACTAGCAGCATACCCGTCCTTTGTACGGGGTTGGCGTATAAGTATAAAATGCTTGTTGAAGTTTGTCATTCAGATCAAAGCTAAATCATGCCTGTTTCTTAAGATGGTATCAAATATGTAAAAGTTGAAAATATTTTGATGCATTTTAATATTTTCAAAGAGATGTATTGTGTTGATTGATTTTCTGTGGACCTGTAAGCTATTATCAACATGCTATAATATAATCATAATTTTGTGTACTGATAGTTCACTACGAACCATGTGGCATCTGATTTGTCTTTTTCATTTCAGTGTCAAATGCTAACCCCCAAGGTGGACCAAACATGTTTATATACAAATCAGACACTGGCGACTTGGTGGCATCGTTTGTTCATAAAAAACAGACTGACTGGTAAGCAATTGTTAATGACTTTAATTCATTATTATCTTGTACCGCATGCAGTACAGGATAAATTAAGTTACAAAACATAAGTCACTAAGGTATGGTATTTAGCCTACATCCTATATTAGGCTATATAGTATGTAGGCTAAATACCATACCTTAGTGATGTAATTTTTTTCAAACCTGTAAAATTTTAGTGTTTTATTTACTTACCTTAGTTACCTTACCGAGTAGGCCACTCAAACCTAAGCAGGTTTTTGGCCTCCAAGAGCTCCGAAAACTTATTTGTCGTCTAAGAACATTACTGACACAGTGTCGGTTGTATAGGGAGCCGCAGTGGAGTGCTGACGAGTCGTTGTGTCTACACACAGTGAACCACGAGGTGGTGTGTTACGCAGCCACACAGCTAGACAAGCCAGCCCACAGACTGACAGGACAGAAGGTGGTCAGTGTGAGCCTGTCTTCTGGCAACCCTCCCTTCCATCTGCTCTGTTATGTACCAGGTAACATCCTCCAACACATCTCTTACATTCACTGTTGCCTTTGGAAATAGACAATAAATTTTCACTGGCTAGAACTAAAGTTCTAATTCAAATAATATTGAACACTGTAAGGCCTTAATTTATTAAGCCAGCTGGACATTCTGGGTTTGAAGTTAGCTGTGGTTTTAGTGACTAACTTAAAACCGTGAAAACCTGAAAAGCGTGAATTAACTGTAAATTTGGTTGATTGCGAAAAACCTACTTTAAAACCCCCAATCACAGGGACATTGTGGCTATCTCTGGCTGTCACAGCAAAATCACTAAGTATAGGCACTTAAACTTTGAATTTGAATCACTTACTCTAAATTAAATGGGAAATAATGTTGTTTGAATATTGTAGACTATGAGCATTTTAAATGGTTTATTCTAATGAAACATACCTATTATTACTAACCTTACTGTTCTCTATTGGACAAAAAATGGCTTTCCCTTAATTTCACACTTAAATTAAGCAATTCAAAATTGTTCTCAAACCTTGTAATATAAAATATATATCTACGATACCTTACAATGTTGATTAATTGTTGAATTGTTACAGGGAAACCTGGTCAACCGTCTTTCATTAAATTGTACCAATACCCCAAGTTCGACACACCTGTTGCCAGCAAAACGTTTTTCCAGGTAAATATTGTTTGGCCAATAATAATATCCAACTAAAATATTTTTTTTTCATTGACATTAGATTAAGGTTTATGATTTTTTTTATTCAGTAGTCTATTCATTGGAGATCAAATAGGCTATGAGTCAAATATAAGAAATGGGTTTGGGGCTTGGGACTTGATCCACAGAGAAGTAGCAATCACATGGCTACTTTCAATAGTTCATTGTTTACGTCTTTAGGTTCTATTTGGTAGGCTAAATTATTCTGGTACCTTTTAAAAATCATAATTTATTTATGAACTCAAAAGATATTTTCTGATATTATGCCTGAATAATAAATTGTGAATTTTCCCACAAAAACAGGAAATTTGTGAATTTGGAAAAAATGGGTTTGTTTTGAACAATTAAATTATAAGCTTAAGCTACTGATTGTCAACAGGATTGAACTAGCAATTTGTTTAATCGGCGAGCACTATAACCAGCCGAAGAACTGTCTGTGAAGGTACCACTCAACTGTGTGGGTCTGAATTGGGTGTTGAATTTTGCAGCTAAACCTTACATCTAAACCGCATGACTCTGTATACTCTGTATACTACTTAATGACTCTGTATTCAATGCCGGTTCCAAAATCTGCTATGATTGCTGCAATATTGTGATCATCTACTATAATCACGATGACAAAATGAATTTTCAATCCCACAAACAAGTACGGCATTCCTGATTGCTTTAATGTCCTAAGATTTCCAACATAAAAAGGTTTTACAAATTTATTAATCCAGAAAACAGGAACAATGAGAATCTATATATATAATACGTGAAGCCGTTTTTTGTTAACGCAACTCCTCCCTTATTTGTGGACCAATTTGAACGTTTGAGGTGTCAAAAGATTCGTCTCAATATGTAGTTTTGCAATAAGGTTTTAGAATTCTAAAATTCCTGCCCTTAAGAGCGTGAGACCCACTCAAAGGTCGGGTTTTCCCCATAAGAAATACATAGAACAAATTTAAAACAAAAAAACAGCTGTTTATAAGAAGCTGTAGCTTTTTGGGAGTAAATATTGATGTTCGTAATATTTAGTAGGTTAAGACCAAGTTAAACAGTTCAAATCAGTTTTGTTGGAAGAACAGAAAATGCCTCAAGTTCAAAGAAGAAATATTGAACACGGTAGTAGGACACAATTAATAATAAGATATTTTGTGCGTATGAGGAGAGTAGAAAAAGAGAGACCTGGTCTAACAGATACCCATCCAGATACACATTCACTTTGTGAGATGAATAATATTTGCCAGTTCTGCTATGCAACTTACTTTGGAAGTGAAAAAATATACGAAGCTCATAATGTTGTCACGGTGGGAAAGTAAACTTGCCTAAATGTCAGATCAAATGAGTTTGTGGGTAAAAAATGGAGCACATGAAAGGGTCGACATCACCCCACTTTTCAGGTTACTCTACGGAGAAAATTCGTTTGATCGGGGGATGTCTCAAATCAAAGGAATAAAATGGCCCAACTTTAATTACTTAAGAAAGGTTATCAGTACGGTAACAGTGTTCTTCAATAATTCTCAATGCTGGAAAAACTTTGTTGCAACATATTAACTCGAATTGAGGCAGATCGTTTAGCATTCATTAGAAGTTATCAGTTAAAATCGAGAGCAGAAATGATGTAGGTGAACCTTGGTGACGCCATTAGAGATATTTAAAATTAGTTTCTAACAAGTTTTCTAATAACTCTAAGCTGTAACTAAAGTTACTAGAATTTAAGCATAAGGTTTTCATCGGCGTTATGTTTCAAACTAGGCGGCTCATTGAGCCGCACGGGTTCCCTAGTAAATAATCTATTTCACGTAAACTCCCTAGTAAATAATCTATTTCACGTAAGGTAATTTTGCTAAATCAAGTAATGTAGTAGTATTCAAGCTTGTGGATAAATGATCACAGTTTCTGCGATCAAAGGTAAAATTGGAAATCTTTTAAGGTTGAAGAGATGTTATCTTTGTCTTCTGTTATTGCAACGGAGTTTTGAGTATTCTATTGGCTGCTTGATTTTCTGACTCGGTGCTCAATCTTTTGGCTGTTAGATTTGGCAAAAATTGAGTCACTCAAACTTCACTAGTATTATAATTAGGCCAGCAATCAGAACTGCATCGATCTAGCTGGAGTCTGTTGGCTGCACATAGCAATATCGGAAATATTGCTGCGGCATCTCTACATCGTTCCAGTCGTATGTGTTACAATGTGTTGTTGCCACGATTAAACCTGTACTAGGTCTGGCCTTGGACCCAGTGCTGGATTTAGGGTACTTGCGGGCCCTAGGCCAAATTACTTGAGCGACCCTCCCCCTGTGGTAGAAATTCCTTGCGATCTTGATCTAGGAAGTAATCGTGAATATCTCCTGTGCATCAAAGAGACATCATCATCGACACCCGTAATCGTGGATGAAATCGTGGACATCTCTCCTAAACCAAGTCAAAGCCATCATAGGTATCCGTGACCGTGACTGGGGTAAAATCAGAAACATCTCCCGCGGGCTGCAACAAAGGGACATGATCCTCGACACTCGCGAAATCGTGATCATATCCCGTGAGCTGTGACCTTGAGGACATCATCACCGTGACCACAGTAAAATCGGAAACATCTCCCACGGGCCGCATTCACGGGTACATCATCATCGACACTCGCAACCGTGGCAAAATCGTAAACATCTCCCGCGAAGCAGCAATCACGGGGACATCATCATCGACACTTGCGATCGCGGCAAGTTGTGTTAAAAACATCTTCTGTAGACTGCGATCATGAGGACATCATCATTGTCACCCGCAGCCGTGCCGAAATCGTAAAAATCCCCCTCGGGAAGCCATTACAGGGCCATCCTCATTGACACCCCCAGCCGCAGTGAAATCGTTAATATCTCCCGTGAGCCGCAATCACGGGGACATCATCATCGACACTTGTGAAAGCGGCTAATTCTTGACCATCTCCCGTGGGCTGCGATCATGGGGACGCATCACCTTCACCTGCGGCCATGGCAAAATCGTCAACGTCTCCTGCAGGCCGCAATCTCGGGGACATCATCATCTGTACCCGCGGCCGCAGCAAAATCAAGAACATCTCCCTCTGTCCGCGGAGACATAATTATGGTCACCTGTGATTGTGGCAAACTGGTGGTTTTAAAAAATAAATCATTTTATTATCTAAAAAATGTTTTTTTTTTCAATCCTCTTCGGCCCCACTTTTGCTTGCGGCCTTTAGTGGTAAATCCGGCACTGCTTGGATCCCTTGTAATATGACTGATAAAAACTTTAAGATTGAGTAGGTGTCTTTCCAACCTATAGTAGAGTGGTTAGTTAGCTCTGTGTGATATGTTACAGTCAGACAAGGTAGAGATGTGGTGGAACAAGAAGGGTACAGGAGCTCTGGTGATGGCCAGCATGGAGGTGGACAAGACAGGCTCCTCGTACTACGGCAAACAATCGCTGCACTTTGTGTCAGTTAAAGGAGACACGGCTATGGTTCTGCTCGGTAATTATTATGTGAATTTTTTTTTCCTTTACATCAATAAAATGATCTCTGATTTATTTGTTAATTTCTAACACCAATATTTGCCATTTATGGTTTTAAAAAAATGTTTGGATTTTCTTAGGTTACCTATTGAGATAATTCAAAGTTATTCACACACATTCTAAATCATTACTTGTCATAAACTGTCAACATGTTTTAAATTTCAAAAATATCTAAGGAGCTTCAAATCGTTCTCCCATATCCTATGAAACTACTGGTCATACACTAACATGTTAATAACAACATGACCTAAGTGACACGTTATTTATGTTGACGCAGGCAAGGAAGGTCCCATATACGCAGTGTCATGGAGTCCGCTAGGAACAGAGTTCTGCGTGGTGTACGGGTTCATGCCTGCGAAAGCAACATTGTACAACCTCAAGTGTGAAGCTGTCTTCAACCTGGGCTCTGGATCTCGCAACAGCATCTACTACAACCCCCATGGCAACAATATCCTTTCCAACTTCATCTTGGTTCCACAGACGTTACATTTTTTCAAATTATATTTAACACTTGACCTTTGTTAGTCTCGCACTTGGTACTTTAGTACTGTTAAGTTACTTAAATTGCTGGGTTACTTATAAATATAGTTTGTAGTATAAATGGTTGAAAATGCAATGCTTAAGTCAATTGCTTTGATAATACAGACACTTTGAAATTGTAGGTCTCCACTGGCTTAATTGTACGGTTCATGGAAAATTCATAGGTAGAAATAAAATATTTTAACATGACAGATACAATTTAATTGGTGTTTTTTTTCAGCTGCACTCAAATTATCTTATTGGCTGTTTTGCCCAATTGCATTAATGAATTGTTATTAATTACAACTGTCCACTACTAGAGTGGATAAAATCTGCAGTAGCCTAGGTATTAACGTTTTCATTTTCATTGACAATTTGACTTGTTTGGTTCCTTGACATGAGCACTTCTCCTACTGGGAGGGTTTGGCAACCTCAGTGGCCAGATAGAGGTGTGGGACACAACCAGTAGAAAACTCATCAGCAAACTGGAGTCTCCCGACACCACGTTATTACACTGGTAAATACTGACAAGAATCTAGAAATGCATTAGAGTCTCAAATATCCAACCTAAAATGGCTGCGGCCAGGTCAGATAACCCTAGAAAATAATTAAGAACCAAAATAAACATGTTGAAAATCATTTAATTATTAAAGTTACTCTGTTTCTGTCGTCAACCTTATTCGAGACTTTACCTAGAATTCAATTTTTGCGTTAACACTTTTTTTGTGAAATCACACTCAACCAAAGTTTATAGTTACAAAAATATAAATCTCTTGTTTGATTTCATATAGGCCTAATGTGCATGGACATTTTGACATTCTTCAAACCAAAACCAAGTACTGAATTTTCAACTATTTCTAGGTCACCAGATGGAGAACACTTCATGACTGCCACAACAGCACCAAGACTGAGGATGGGAAATGGGTGAGTTGGACTTGACATCAAGATTAGTTAAGATGTCTCAGACTAAACACTTGTTTATTGTCTTCTCAATCCTAAACACAAGGTAAATGGTGTAAGTTGGACACAAGACTAACATAACCTAACACCCACTTACATCTTTCTATACGAGTGAATCTAAACAAAATCGTCTTACATGTGCTACGACCTGTGAATCAAGTTTAGAATGATTACGCTGGTGCTTTTGGTCGACCATAGTTGTTAGTGCAGTCAGACATCGTCAAAGATTAACGGTGTCAATCTCGTTTCAGTCAGGTCTGATATGCAACTCTTGACTGTGATATAACTTGGTGGATAGAGGCCTACCTAAAATAAATATTGGACAACAACTATGATGGGTGTTATCTTTGTGATTTGCACCTTAATTCTGGCGTTTAGGCCTACTACTTTTTGTATTTACTTAGGCCTACTGTGTGAGTAAGCACCCCTTTAGTTAGGTAGTTAGCGTCAACTTTTAGATAGGCCATAGTTATGTTTTTGTGTATTAAAACAACAAAAGATTATTTTAAATGGTTGATAGTTTCAAGATCTGGCACTACTCGGGTGCCTTGCTGTACGAGAGGCCGTGGAACAAGCAGGAGGAGCTGTGGGAAGTGTTGTGGCAGAACTTTCCTACAGGAGTGTTCCGTACTCCCGCCATCACTAGTAAACCTGTGGAGGGCATCCAGCCTAGCCAGCCGACAGGTAACTCAATTACAGGAAATTACATGATAACAGCGTGTTAAGAATGCTTACTGTAGTACTGGAAAATTATAACAATCTTACAATACCTCAGCATAATGTCAGGAACTAATTTTTTAGATACTTGACATGCTAACATATTAATTTTTCCAAAACAATATAAACAAAATTTAAATCCTAGATTTGTACGGGTGGATTTAGACTAAAACTTTAGCATCCAAAGTGAATCTTTCCCTCCAACTCCAAACTTTTCAACATAGTCTACATATTTTCAGGACCAAGTTGTATTTTGAGCACCAAGTTGGAGGGGAGGGATTAAACTTAGGTAATTTTGTTTTACAATTACATCGTTTTAAATCTTTGCATTTAATATTAACCATCATTTGACACTGTTGAATGTTACTGGCATATTAGTAAAAATTAATTCTAGTATGACGTCAATTAACGAATTAACTTTTAATTTTCCTGATTGCAGATTATAAGTGAGGGGTGTTACTTTTTGGCTGATTTACTTACTAATGAAAGCAAGATTCTAAGAGGGTGAATTAACTTACTAATTATGTTTAGATTAATTCAATCTATGCTTAGAAACTGTATGCTGTAGTACTTTTACAATGTTCAAAATGCTGTGTAAATAATTTTGGGTTTATTTTGAAACTTTTTTCTGTCTGTTTTAGCATCAAAACAAGCCTACAGACCACCGTCTGCGAGAGGGAAGGAAATCAATTTCAAGCTTCACGACGATGAGGATGTGCCAACACTGGTTAGCGAGACTGCATGTGAGTTGTTGTGTTGTTAATTTTAGTACTCAAAGAAAGTATAGTGATTTAAATGTGTTATTGGTCTTAAAAATAAATTGATACTAGCTTACATGTCAAAATATATTTTAAAGAAATTTGTGCCCGCTTTTAAACATGCATTTGCCTATTCATATGGGGCTCAAAAAACGGTTACGGTACTTAAACGTACCAAACAAAGCAAGGGGTGAGCTGGTATAGTGCAAGAATGAACTGTAGGCCTACTGACAATTTAAGGGGTGTCACCAGGATGTGCACTCACGACACTATCTTGCTTTTACAGTCACAGTCCATACAAATTATAATTGCAGTTCAACCAATTTTTATCACCATTCGTCGATTTGCGGGGGAACACAGCGGAACGGTGTTCCGGTACCTCTCTTTCGGAAAGATAAAAATATTGGCATAAGTAGGTACAAATCACATTAAATAGGTTACAGTTCAGGCACCTCATTTTTTTACAAATGGAGCACTGATGACCACTGTCATTAACTTGTAAAAGTATACAAAATCATTTTAAAGTTGGTATAACTGTTATATCAGAGTAAGTAATGTGGGAAATTCTAACCTTAAACATTCTTGCCACCAAAACTGATTGGATGATATGTTATGTAGGCCTACCCTTTTCTATCTAAAGTCTTATAAAAAGTAGTCTGGAGATTACAAGTTTTAGATCATAAACCTATTCTCAAATCTGCGACTTCTGTTGTAGAACCAATAAATGTTGGTCTCGAAATTATTAAATCTAGAACCTACTCTTGACTATTTATCTGCAACCATTCAAACAATATTAATCTCTGTTTTATCGACAGCAAACCCAAGCAAAGCAGCGTTGAAGCTGAAGAAGAAGCGAGAGGCGAAGAAGGCAGCGAGACAGCAAGCGGCAGAGCTGGGAGAGGTGACCAACAACAGCAATGGTGTCCCTCCGATACACAAACCTTCCATACTGTCTGAGGAGGTGCATACTGACGACCCGGAGAAACTCAAGAAGATCAAGAAACTCAAGAGTGTAAGTATGACTTGAGTAGAGACTGGTTGGCCTAATCAGGACAAGCTAGGGCAAGTAATAGGAAAGGCCGGGTTAAATGGAAAATTGTTAAAAAACATTTAAAATGTTACAAATAATTAAATATTTTTACCATTTAGTAAGAACGTAAAACTCAAAATCTATTTTTATACTTCAGTAAAATGAGGTGATTGCCTTTGGCTTTCAGGCTGTTTGGTTTTTTCCCTGATAAATGCCACAGCCTGTTTAAATCTGCTTCCTGCTGTTGTTTTTTACCAGCACTAAAATCATGTACCTTTTTTAATAGTATATTTCATCACTAGGGCCTAAAGTTCTTTTTGACCTGAGAGGTCATTAAATGAGCGAGGGGTCAACAGTCACTTTTTGCCCGTGTGGTGAACTATATTTTTCGTCATATTGCATCATTAATTAACAAACAAAGCTAGAAAACTAAATAATTTGCAAGTAAAGATAACCTCTCAAAACGACTTCTAACTTGTTTTCAATTCTGTTAATGCAAATAAGCATCCGTTTAGTAAGTGGTTCAATCATTTAGTCTATTACGAATACGATTGTATTACAGTACATTATACTGTCGATATGTCGAATGATCGACAACAATAGGCTAAAACCTTACCTAATAATAAACCAATTGATAAATAGTTTTGATCGATACGATTGTCACAATCAAAATTTACAACAGCTGATTTATACTCGGCTAGAGACTAAAAATGATACTTTAGACCCGCAACGCAGGCCAGGGTGTATACCAACCGGGAAAACCAGAAGAACCGGGAAATAACCTTGAATTTGAAGGGACCTGGAAAAAACCGGGAAAAAGCCGGGATTTTTGGACCGAATCCGGGATTTTTATTTTAGCCCCGGTAGAAGATTGTAGTCGTAAAATGCGTCTTGCCGCGATTGCGGGCGACGACGATGACGTTTTCGTGACCGCGGGAGACGACGATGACGTTTCCGTGACCGCGGGAGACGACGATGACGTTTCCGTGACCGCGGGAGACGACGATGACGTTTCCGTGACCGCGGGAGACGACGATGACGTTTCCGTGACCGCGGGATCAACGATGATTTTTACACGGCCACGTGAAATACTCATGATTTTGCCGCGATTGCGACCTACGACGATGACGTTTCCGTGACCACGGGAGACTACGATGACGTTTCCGTGACCGCGGGAGACGACGATGACGTTTCCGTGACCGCGGACGACGACGATGACGTTTCCGTGACCGCGGGAGACGACGATGATTATGTCTACGCGGCCGCAGATGTTTATGATTTTGCCGGGATCGCGGACGATGGCGATGACGTTTTCATATCTGCGAGAGGCAATGATGATGTCTACACGGCCGCGGGAAATATTCATGATTTTGCCGAGATCGCGGACGACGACGATGACGTTTCCGTGACCGCGGACGACGACGATGACGTTTCCGTGACCGCGGACGACGACGATGACGTTTCCGTGACCGCGGGAGACGACGATGATTATAACTACGCGGCCGCAGATGTTTATGATTTTGCCGAGATCGTGGACGACGGCGATGACGTTTTCATATCTGCGAGAGGCAATAATGATGTCTACACGGCCGCGGAAGATTTTCGTGATTTGCAGTGTCCGCGAAAGACGACGATGATGATTTCTACACGGCCGCGTGATATGCTCATGATTTTGCCGTGATTGCGGCCGACGACGATGATGTTTCCGTGACCGTGGGAAACGACGATGACGTTTCCGTGACCGCGGGAGACGACGATGATGTAGACACGGCCGCGGGAAATATTCATGATTTTACCGAGATCGCGGACGATGACGACGATGACGTTTCCGTGACTGCGGGAGGCTATGATGATGTCCACACGGCCGCGGAAGATATTCGTGATTTGCCGTGACCGCGAAAGACGACGATGATTTTGTCTACACGGCTGCAGATGTTCATGATTTAGCCACGATCGCGGACAACGACGATGACGTTTACGTGACCGCAGGATCAACGATGATGTTTACACTGCCGCGGGAAACATTCATGATTTTGCCGAGATCGCGCACGACAACGATGACGTTCCCGTGACCGCGGGAGTCAATGATGGTGTCTACACGGCCTCGGAACATTTTCGTTATTTTGCCGTGATCGCGGTTGATGACGATGACGTTTACGTGACCGTGGGAGTCAATGATGATGTCCACACGGCCGCGGAAGATTTTCGTGATTTTGCCGCGATCGTGGATGACGATGATTACGTTTCCGTGATCGTGAGAGACGGCGATCATGTATACATACCGCGGAAGATGTCCAGGATTTTTCTATGGTAACGTAAGACTGTGATGATGTTTACGTCACCGTGGGAAGCGACCACACGACCGAAGGAAATATTCAGGATTTAGCCGCCGTTGATAATGTGTTCATAAAAAGTGAAGATAATATTCATGATTTTGCTGCTATCGAGAGAGACGATGTTTCCGTGGACTTAAGTAATGATGATAATGAAAATTATTATTATAATAAGGATTATTACTTTTTCAACACTAGCTCACTGGACTTTGAAACAAATTTAATGCAAGTTTATATTGTATACTTAGGCTGCAAGTCTTAAATTGATTATAGTTTAAGTGGAACCAAAAAAATACGTGGGAACCTGGAAAAACTTCGAAAAACCAGGAAAAAACCTGGAATTTCACTCTAATAAAATAGTATACACCCTGGCAGGCATTAAAATCGGCTGTTTTTGCTGCAGTATGACGAAAAATGGTTTTTGTTATTCATCTTTCTTCAAAACTTAAATTTGTCTTCAATTGAAACTGAAACCACTACAAGTTGTATGATTCTTATTAAAAAACTGATAAGTGAACTAAAAATAGCAAAATAAAGCTTCCATTTCACAATTTCTTTATTTACTTGAGTATTTTTTTTTTCATTAGGTTTTTGATGTAAAATTTGTATGTAGCTCAATCCATAATGTTTTATTTCAGAAACTACTGGAAATATCAAGGCTGAAAGAACAGAAAGCGAATGGCAAAGCTTTAGAAATCAACCAAGTAGAGAAGTTGAAGAAGGAAGATCAGCTTATAAAAGAGCTGCAAGAACTATGTTTGTGATAACATGCAAGGAGTTCACTTGGTGAGCAAACAAAATATTTGCTTCACAACATTAGGAGTACTTACACAGATAATATTTTTTTAACGGCCGATAAACATAGTACTGAAGAATAAATTAAATAAAAGCCACTATGCTGAAACAGATATAATTATTAAACAAACATTTCTCGATATAGGTAAAAGAAAATTGAGAGTTTTAGTGCTTTGTCACCAGTTACTGAGTAGGCACATACATCGTACACAATTGAAATGTTACATTTGATTTACGGATTAAATAGGTACATAAATTTTACATTTATTTTATGGACAATAACTTTGTTTTCATAAGATTTGGGCTACAATATAAATAGTGTTTTTTTTATTCAATTCCTGATAAATTATAAAATAATTATGTAATGTTTGCACAAAGACAAACATTTAAAGGATTTCTGTTAGGATGGCTTGGAAAAGAGTCCATCCTGGCATAGAAACAAAAAGACTTTGCACTATACTCTAACACCGACAGAATTTTCCACTGAGGAACGTACATCGTACATCTCTAAGCTTTCTTGATAATTTCTGCGTATGGTGTTATTTGTCATTCTTGTGCCAGAATGGATGGACTCTTTCCTATGTAAGCATGCTAACCTAACCAAAATTCTTACAGTTTGTAAAATTAGTTTAAAGCTTTTGACTTAGATCATTCAGTAGTATTAATTGTTTTCTTCTCTACAGACCTGATGATAAAGAGTGAACTTTCAAAGAAACACGCTACAAGTTCAAGCCAGGCATAAAGACGAGAAGGAAATGCGGCACAACCAACATAATAAATCATCTTAATGTACAGTCAATAAATTGGGTGCAATCATTGAAGGCTAATAGTTTGATTATCAATTGCTGTGATTGGAAACGTCTTGGTTTATTTTCCTTTCTTCTGTAAATAAAAAACTGTGTTTTCTTTTAATAGGCCTCAAGGTATATCAAAGTCAAATCAATGGTGTTTAAAATTGTGATCTGACGAGAAAAATATTTTTGGAATATTGTTTTCTTGTACTGACTTTATTAAAAGGCAATTATCACTTTGAACTAATGATTTTAGTTGATCTAATTTTATATTTAGGGTGACTAATTGACTACAGTTCTTAAAATATTTTCTGCATTTATATGAAAACTCAGGGAGATAATAAACTTTTGGCTATATCTAATACTCTACAAAGAAACTGCTGATTTTATCATTATAATTGTGATGATTTTATTCATCTTATTAAACATAGGCCTACAGTAAATGTATGGTCATCTCATTGAATTGAGTTTTCCATTTCAGATAATATCAGTTGATATCAATTATTCAGTAAATCAACACGTACAAATGACTATTTTTGTCTTATTTTTAACAGAACTACATTTTAAACTTCAATTTTTTAGCTTACAATAAGCTGAAACACTAAGCATAAATATTATATTCAGCATATTCAAGATTTTACGACTTGCAAAATGTTTCAATAATTTAATAGGGAACATTCTTAATATACTGTGTAATATGATAACACTTTGTGTAAAAACAATAATTTTGAAGGATAAAAAATTGTTGGATGTATATTTTTCTATGTACTCAAAATGAACGACATGTTATTATAAGAATGCTTATGACTCAAAGAGTTTTAGTCCTGTTATATTTGAACAAAACTAGAGTAGAGAATCATGATTTGTTATACAATTATCGCTTGATTTTGATATAACGTTCTTATATTTTTGCAAGAAATGTATGTGTACATAATATTAAATAAGCCGAATATCTGTCAACAAACGTATGAATATATAGTTTACATTGTGTATGCTGTAATTGTTTTTGTATATATTTATTGAAACATCTGAAACATTGATGTTCTTTGTTATTTTGTGTAGTTGCTCATGTTTGATAGGTTATTGGTGTATTTTATAAGGAACTATCCTAGTAGTGTTATTGGAAATTTTGAGTTGAATTGTTATTTGTTATAAGTTTTGATCTGAGAAAAAGTTATACTATAAATACTTCAGTGTCTATAACTACTATACCCATAAAGTAGAATAAGACAAAGAAAACAATAAAAAATAAATAATAAAACAATATTGTACAAAAAGCACTAAGAATATGACACAGAAATAAGTAATCAAGGAATAGTCTTTTTTTTAAATCAACCGTAAAATTTTTGAAAGTCATCCAAACATAATTTGAATTGAAATTAGATGTACTACAAAAAAAATTTAAATTACAATTTGCCATGCTATTTAAATAATTTTTGGATTGATAATCTTAACAAGTCTTTCAACTGAGGTGGTTTTGAAAAAAAAATTTGCATATTTTTTATCAACACCAAAACCACTACTATTAGTAATTATAATAAACAAGTTAAAAATTATACTATTCAAAATTATAATCTGTAATGTTATTATTTTATATCGTTTTTAAAATTCTGAAGTGTAATTTTTTTTCTTCTTACCAGCTAATGTTTTACTTTTAGAATGTCTAATAAACGGGAGTTTGGGCTAAACCTCTTTTACACACACAGATTTGCCAAAACAAAAACCGTTTAATTAGTTAGATACAACACTAAATATGTTACTAAGTTTTACATTCAAAATTGTTGCTTTGCTTTACTTTTAAAATACATTTTTCATGTGTGTTATCTTAAAAGGTAGGCTATAAGTATTGTTCCTGATAATGATGTTTTTACAATTTATCCTTGTAAATATTTAGGAGTGTATTTTCGATTATGTTTTTTGGGTTTTATTTTTCGTCTTGCCCTGAATTAATATTTATGTATAAAATTATAAAGTTGATGATTTTGTTGTGCATTATGATCCTGGTATTAAGTCATGATGCATTTTAACCATGTATATTGTTGCTGTAAAAAGAAAATAAACTGATAATTTTTACCCAGAGTTTTATTATTTCCTTAAAGTTAATGTATGGTTTAATGTGATTTTAAGTTGATTATTAAAAAGTCATCTTGATTGTGACTTGGAAGGTGGCTTGTCCAACCTTATACTATGAGGTCACGAATTGTGGATATTTATAGACATGCACTGTGGATGTTATACTCCCTGGTGTGGATTAACGACCGCACTAGTGAGTAGTACAACTATCCGAGTACTATCCTGATAGTTAGACCAATTTGTTAATACCAAGCCAAAAATATATTTCGGATTCCACTATAAACTGTAGCGACCTACAACCTATGCCTTAGTCAATAACAAGACTACAAGATCGCGCCACTCATCCTACACCCATCTCCCTTCATACTTGGCTTAAAATACCTACTTTGTATGGTTGCCATTTTAATGAAAACACAATGAAAAAAAGAACAAAAATTAATTTGCATAGTAACTAACTATGAATGACATATCCATGCGCAGAGCATTTTTTGCCCCTGATGAACTGAATTTACAAAATAACAATTCATAAAAATTACTTACTTAAATGTTTCCTTAATGACTTATATAACTTTATCATTATTACTTGTTTGAACATGTTTACTGTATACCCTCTTAATATTATATTTTCAAATTTATAAGTTTCTAAGGATGCTGAATGGAAAATAAAAGTATTTTATGATCACAAAGAGGTCACCAAAAAAAATATTGTACAATTTAAAATAAAAACATAACCAATATTTCATGAATTTTTAATTTTATGAGGCCTTTCGCCAGCCAGACACATCACAAAAACAAATCGTCTGATGATGTTTTTATTTTAAAGTATTCACTATTCATTCCAATATATAAAAAAATATATCCAATAAATTGTATCCAGTTCTTTCTTCTTGAAGATTAGAAAAATGTTGTAAATGTAGAGTCAGTAGATGGTGTGTTTCAAATCTTGTTTAGTTAATTGATGGTTTGTATGTTTGATTTACATATATTTCAAATGTAATAAAATTAATTTTACTTTATTGGTAATTGTGCATGAAAATAGTTGCTTGCAGCTATAAACTAGTTGGTAACTGTTAGATAGTTAAATGTATAAGTAATTAATACATCAGCTGATTTATTAATATTAAGTTTGTTAGTAAATATTCTGCTTAGGTTGATGTGTTTAAGAATTCAATAAAATGGTTCTTTTATATTTTGAATATCATTTAGTGTAATTCTATATTGGCGACGATGAGTAAACGAACCAAAAGAAGAAATAGTTATTTCAATGAAGAAGATGAGTATGAAACTAAAGAAGATGCATTGCAATCAAAGATAGAGAAGTTCAAATGTCAAAGCTATGATGAGTCTAGTAGGTGGGATGATTATGAAGCACATTTTCTATTGTTATGCAAGGTAAAAGGATTGGGAGAAGATTCTCAGAGAGCAGAGGATGCTCGAAGGGATCTTTTGCTTGCCTATGTGGGTCCTGCACCATTAAGAAAAGTTTCAAACTTTCTGCTGCCTTTAAAAGTACATCAGGCTACGTGGGCAGAACTAGTTAATGGTTTCAGGTCAGTATACAAAGCTAGTAAAACTATATTTTCAGCTAGAATGGAATTTGAAAAAAGTATCAGAGAAAATAGTGAAAGTCTTTCAGAATTTGTAATACGTTTGAAAAATTTAGCAGATTTTTGTAAGTATGAGAACAAGTTTGATGAAAGAATAAGAGACAGATTTGCTGGAGGTATAAGTTTTCCAGAGTTTGAAGTAGAAATTAGACAACGATGGCCTGATGGGGTAAAAGAAAACGGTGACAAGTTAACATCTGAAGATGTTTTTGAACTGGCCACTTCAATGGAAAGAGCTCGTCATGAGATATTCAAGAATAATGATAAAGAGTTGAAAGTATCACAAGTAAGAAGAAACAATAAGGAGGTTAAAAGAGAAGTGAAATACAATGAAAAGACAAATCATCCATGTAGTAGATGTGGAACAAAGCATGAATTTGGTAAATGTCCAGCCTATCAACAAAAGTGTTTGAATTGTAAAAAAATAGGACATTTTGCAAAGGTATGTCGGCAAAAACGAGTGAATAATTTGCATGAAAAGTCAGAAGATGAAGAATCTGAATCGGACTCACATGACATGAGGATAAACGATGTTAAAAAGGAAAGAAGACATATTTGTAAAGCACGTATTCATTTAAAGTTAAATAAGGTAGCTACAAACATGGAATTTGACTCTGGAGCTTGGGCCTCAATGATAGGTAAGCCTCTTTGGGAGAAAATTGGTTCACCAAGACTTGATAAGACTAATTCAAAATACGTGGCATATGGAAACAATATTTTAGATATACTTGGTGAATGTTATGTCAATGTTACAGTAGGTGATGAAAAACGTAGATTAAAAGTAGCAGTAGTAAATGGAAATGAGAAACCGCTGTTTGGTTTACCATGGATATTAGCCTTTAATATGAACCTCCCTCCTGATGTTACTATTAGTAAAGTAAAATGTAAGCAGAATCATAATCAATATAAGATGGATGATGTGAGGGTTAAGGAAGTACTAAAAGAATTTGAAGATGTGTTCTCTGAAGGGCATGGGAAAATCAAGGGTTATAAAGCACAAATTCACGTTCGAGAAGATGCAAACCCTCAACATTTTTCAGCACGCAGGGTTCCGTTTCCCTTGAAAAAACGAATTGAGAATGAACTTACAAGACTTGTAAATGAGGATATCATTGAAGAGGTAGATCCTGCTGCTACACCTATTCCCTGGGCTACCCCAACAGTTAATGTAGAGAAGAATGATGGTTCAATAAGAATTTGTGGAGATTTCCGAGTCACTTTGAATCAAAATTTGGTCCCAGAAAATGCAATTATTCCGACATTTGAGGAACTAACAAACAAAGTTGCAGGCGGACAAGAGTTTTCCAAGATAGACCTACGAGATGCATACCTACAAATGGAGGTTGCAGAAGAACACCAAAAGTATTTAGTAATAGCAACGCATAGTGGTTACTATAAATACAAACGTTTACCTTTTGGGATATCATCTAGTCCAGGTATTTTCCAAAGATATATGGAAAGACTCTTAGCTGGGATACCACAGGTTGGAGTTCTTCTGGACGATATTATAATAACTGGAAGGAATAAGAACGAGCATTTACGAAATTTGAGAGAAGTTTTGAAACGAATGAAAGAAGCTGGTATAAAAGCAAAGTCTAGTAAATGCAAATTTTTTGAAGAGTCGGTGACTTACTTGGGACATACAATCGACCGGAATGGAATACATCCTACTGAAGAAAAAATAAAAGCCATTCGAGAAGCACGGTCACCTACTAATGTCAAGGAACTCCGATCATTTTTAGGTTCTATTAACTACTATGAACGATTTATTCCGGGACTTCATGCCATTTGCAGTGATCTCCATAAGCTGACTGGGACTAAATCACAATGGAAATGGTCCGAACAAGAAGAGGGGACATTTAAAAGAGTAAAAGAAATTCTATCAAGTAAAGACACAGTAGTGCCATACGAAGAAATGAGACCATTGGTAATGGTCTGTGATGCATCAGAAAATGGATTGGGAAGTGTACTAATGCACAGATATGTAGATGGACTAGAAAGACCAATTGCTTTTGCCAGTCGTACACTATTGCCCGCTGAAAAACAATATTCAAATATCGACAGAGAAGCGCTAGCTATTATGTTTGGACTCAGGAAATTTCATCAATATGTATATGGTCGGAAGTTTACTTTAGTAACCGACCACAAACCTCTTCAACGGATATTTGGAAATATGCGAGATCTTCCAAAAGTTGTAAATAGCCGTTTAGTGAGGTGGGCTCTCCAGTTGAATCAATACAACTATGACATAGAGTACAGAAAAGGAGAAGATAATGTGTGTGCTGATGTTCTATCAAGACTTCCGATTGAAGAAGATCAACCTGAGGAGGCTAACGTTGGCTTTTTGAATGTTGATAAGGTTAACTCTATCATGTCTTATGACCTCTTGAAACAAAATTCATTTACAGATAAAGCAATTAAAATGGCAAAAAACTTTGTATTGAGAAATACATGGCCCCCTGTTGTTCCTGAAATGTTGAAGTCATACAAACAGAGGAAAGATGAATTGAGTGTTGAAGATGACATATTATTGTGGTTTGGAAGAATTGTAGTTCCAGAATGCATGAGAACTGATGTTCTGAAGATATTGCACACAGGACATCCTGGTATTGTATCAATGAGGTCTGTAGCACGACACTATGTATGGTGGCCCAACATGGATAAAGATATCAAAGTTTATATCAAGAGGTGCACATCTTGTCAAGAGAATCGAGATAATGTGGAAGAAGTACCATTATATCCTTGGAATGTACCTGATAGAGTTTGGGAAAGGGTACACATTGATCTGGCAGGGCCAGTCAACGGATCTATGTGGTTGGTAGGTATTGATGCTTTGTCAAAGTGGGCAGAAGTGGACTGTCTCAAGACAACAAACTCTTCAACAATCATTCAACGACTGAGATCTTGGTTTAGTCGATATGGAATACCAAGTGAAATTGTGACAGACAATGGACCTCAATTTGTATCAAAGGAAATGGAAACATTTTTTGAGAAAAATTCTATCAACCACATAAAAACAACTCCCTACCATCCTAAAAGTAATGGACTTGTGGAAAGACTAATTCGTACTTTGAAAAGACGGTTCTACACAACAAAGCAGGATGTTGGAGATGGAATGCTAGCTCTTCAAAATGTTCTTTTTAGCTACAGAAACTCGCCTCAGAAAACAACTGGTAGGGCTCCTGCAGAATTGTTTCTCGGTCGTAGACTACCAACAATTTTTGACAATATGAAACCTAATCTTAGGAAAAAGATGGAGATGAAGCTTTGGAAAGAACAAGGGAGGGACAACAAAAAAGTTCGAACTTTTGAAGAGGGAGAAGATGTGTGGATTAAGAATGAACATGGGAATGGTTGGTCAGCTGGAATGGTGAAAAATAAAAATGGACTGTACTCATATGATGTACTTTGTGGAGGTGTTATAAAAAGGAAACATGCGGACCAGATGAGACAAAGAATGGGAGCTGTTGAATCCGTGTAAAAAGAAAGAGGGGAAAAGTGTTAGATACGGTAGTTAAATGTATAAGTAGTTAATACATCAGCTGATTTATTAATACGAGAGGTCGTCCAGTGGTCGAAACTCGACCAAAAATATGTAATGTACTCACTTCTTTATTTTCACTTCACACTGTAAATAAAACATGTGATTGGAGTTTCTTCCATTTGTTTTGATTTTCTGTTTATATTTCGTTGTTATTTCGTCACCAGCATGGCAACGCATAAGATCCATGTTAATTTTTTCAAATTTTTAAACTCATTTTTTGTGCTTATCTTTGAGCCTATTTAAATTTATAAAGGGATTCTGCACACCTACAGGAAAATTGCTTTCTAATGGTATGCGCAGATTTACCCCACGATGCACACAAGCTGAGAAAAAAGGTTTTAAAGAAACATGCTTGCCTATTAATATATAGATAGATTAAGTTTGTTAGTAAATATTCTGCTTAGGTTGATGTGTTTAAGAATTCAATAAAATGGTTCTTTTATATTTTGAATATCATTTAGTGTAATTCTATAGTAACCAAGTGAATAGACTTGTTATTACTGTATTTAAAATAGATTACACAATAGTTTGTCTAATCTATTTTAAAACCTCCCCAACTTTTGAGACCACTTGTAGAAAATTCTCAAATTGTACACAGTTGGAAGTAAACAACTGCAGCATGGAAGCACACTTCTATTTCTGCCTGATCGACCTTCAGTGTTCATTCCAGTGTTTTATATTGAGTTAGTTTACACCTTTCAACCATTTGTTCGATACAGCTGTGTATTGTGGTTAAATAATTTTTGGTTAGAGTTTCAAAATAATGTAAAAAGTGTTTTACTTTGCCATGATGAAAACCCACAAATCAAGGTCAGTATATTTACCTTCTATAAAAATATTTGACTTAGGACACAATATACTAGCCTCCACAAATTTCCATATAGATACACTAGGACTGTAATACTGTTAACAATTTATGTATTGCCTTTATTTTTAACAATGAAGAAATAATCATCACAAAAATAAAAACTTCATCTAAGTATAAGTACTGATATTCATAAGCCATAGGAAAGACCTAGAACCAGGACTGACTTACTTTTTCATTTTGGTGTCCCCAGAGGCCAAAAACCCTATTTGTCAAAATTGATTTATACTTATTTATATTTATTGGTTACTAGTTCAATTTTTTAAATTTTTTTATGTTAGCGTGCTCGTTGGAGTGTAATTAACTCATGTTAAATTGTTATGAAGTTTACTTATTGTTCTAGTATAGAACAGATTTAAATAAATACTTGATAAAAAGTCAATAAACTCTAAATCAAGCGTTGTGATTTTGTTTTGTAACTATTTTGTAGTGTTTATTTGCGGACGATCTCTTTCCATCATATTGTGAATTTCACCACACGACATAGTACATTATTGGGTATTAATTAATTGTCTTCTAAGTGTAAAACAGTATTAATATTACATCTTTAAAGGTCGGTAAACACAGCTGGAGTACGGTAAATGACCTTTGGCATTGACTTTATATGGTTTACCAATAGTTCACAACAATGCTATGCTGTCGCGAAGCTACTGCGTGTGGTAGACTCGTCCACCGCAACAATGCAAATACTGCGTTAGTGTAAATCAGTTACTTTGATGAGCGCCAGCTTGAAGAGTGTTGTGATAGTACTATTTTAACCTATGTTAAAAGATTACGATAGGGATTTTTACAACATTTTAAATGTAGCCTAATAGTGACTCTCTCGTGAAATGCCTCTGGCGTAGAAAAAAATATAAATATAAATAAATAGTTATCTTACTAATATTATAAATTGGAAACTATGGATATTTGTGTAACTGCCTAGATTTCAGTTTTTCGGTCTGTTTGTGATTTAAAACAATTATGTTATATTTTAGGCATTTTTCAAGATACAAATTTCAAAAGTGGTATAAATGTGTATTTATTAGGTAAAAAGAGCTTACAACGTTTCGACGCAATATCTCAATCAGTTTCAATATGGCGGTCATTTAAAGTCTTTAGCTCCAAATTTCATGAAAACCGTAAATATTAAGAAAATCGTTCTTAAAATAAAAATCATTGAAATTTAAATCAAAATCAAATGAGACCTTGTTTGTTAAAATTGGAGGACAAACAACCAAGTTATCAGTTTTTTTCTACATTACGCAATATAATATGACTACCATACTGCTCTGTAAAATAACAAATAAATAATAAACAATATGTTAATTGTTTATTTATAAACAAAAACCTATAAATAAAACCTATATTATTTATAAAATAAACCTATAAAATTGTGCATCCGATTGTAGAAAGAAAACGTCTGCCATACCCTACCTGTAAGGGTATGGAAATCTAAATTAGTGCCATTTTGTCACCAATACTAATTAGTTTATCACATAAAAATTCTAACACTATCTTCGTTCCACCCTGTATAAGACTAGAGGTCTCCAGTGGTCGAAAACTCGACCAAAAATATGTAATGTACAGACTTTTTTATTTTTCCCCTACGCTGTAAATAAAACATGTGGTTGGAATTTTTTTATTTTATGTTTATATTTCGTTGTTATTTCGTCACCAGCATGGCAACCCATAAGGCCCATGTTAATGTTATGTAAATTTAAAATTAATTTTTGTGCTTATTTTTGAGCCTATTTTAATTGGGTGAGGTTCATAACTCCAAGTTTTCATAACTCCAAGTACTTTTAAATACAACATTTCATAACTCCAAGTAAAATTATGTCCAAGTAAATTAAAACCAAAATATCATAAGACCAAGTTTCATAACTCCAAGCGTTCATAACTCCAAGATTCATAAGTCCAAGTTAAAATAAAACCAAGTAAATTAAAATACAAAATTTCATAACTCCAAACGTACAGATTTGCAAGGACCACAAGTCCAAGTTTCAAAACTCCAAGGGTTCATAACACCAAGTTTCATAACTCCAAGTGACAATGGGTACAGTCTGTGCAGGAAGCGATAACGTACGCACACACAGGCACCCATTACACACACACATGCTGGAAGAGAGTTTCCGATGTTGGCGAGATTATTCGAAGTGGTGCGTTCCCTGTCGCTTTGCACGTTCGTCTAAATTGTAATACAAATAGTGAGAAGATGAAATTTATATATTTAAATTCTGCGTAAACTGATGTTTAATACTATATAAATACAATTTAGTTCGTGCAGATGATTAATGTTTAATAATGGAAAATATGAAAAGGTTGTTCAATGTAAACATGAAAAAGTAAGTGAGCGAGGATTTTTTTTATTTTTTGGTCAGATGAAAACTTTCAGCGAGAAAAGTATAGATAATAAGATGTTCTTCAATTTTTGTTCCAAACATTTTTTCGTAAGACTTTTAGTTTGTCCAATAATCGACTTAGATGACCACCATGAGGTGAATGAATTAGTTTACGCGCACAGTATTTTAGCAATTGCCGTCTTCCAACAACAATATTAAGGAAATACAGTATTAGTTCACGTTTTAAAATTTCTAAACTATGAAAAATATTTAGTCTTAACTTCTTAAGCTGTATGTACGAAATTTCGAAATTTTTTCTACATAATATTCGTGGTGCACAACGCAAATAAGTCGTAGTGCCTTTTTTTCCACTATTTTTCATCTCCTATTTTCGGAAAAAATGTAAACAGTATTAATCCAGGTTAAGGTTTCATCTTGTAGCATTCATTTGTAAATATAAAATTTGATTATAGTTACAATTACTTGTTCCCTCATAAATCTTTATTCCGTAACAAATATGAGAGTGTATGTTAGCAAAGTAAATTGTACGCAAAATGTCTGTAGTGCATAATGGGTTTAATAAAAAAATACCATATTTAAAATTTTAAAAATACTATCTAGACTTGTATGATCCAAACAAGCGGATATAATCTATAGATAGGTCTAAACATTTGGATTTCGTGACTAAATTATCATAGAAATAGGTTTTTGAGTAAATACATCTATACCTAATACCAGATTGTTTTATTTGAGTTAAATAGAAGGTATTTATCATTTAGGTATTATTGAAGTACCTTAATGAGTTAAGTACTTTAATATAAGAATTGATGTCGTCCAGTGGTCAAAACTCGACCACAATCCAAATAAAATATGAACTTATCTATATTCATCCCACGCTGAAAATCTAACATGTGATGATTGTGTACCAGTCTTCAATTTGTTTAGGTTTTCTGTATATTTATCGTTGTTATTGCGTCACCAGAATTTTAACTCATAATCCAAATGTTAGTTTTTTGTTTGTGTTAAATTCGTTGTCGTACTTATTTTTCATCAAATTGTCTGTCACAATTTTATTTGTTCAATTGGTGTATTTTTTGTTTAGTTGCAATAACGTTAATTATGTTTACCTGAGAAATGCAAAGTTAAAGACCTTCTGTTGTTCAGATGATTTTTGTTTCCCTTAGCATATGAATAATAATTAAAAGCCTTCAGTAAAATGTTGGTAAGGGGCTCTTGGATATTTTCATAGGCTATTATTAAAATTAGTTGACTTTTATGAAAACATAGATTAATGTCATTGACGTACCAGATTTATTTGGCTTTAGAGGGCTTTCCTCTGCAATGATTACAAAGTTAAGTCCATGTTTCCTAATAAAATTTGTAGCACTTCGGCTAACATCCTGGTTCATAGTTTGTAGGAATCTGAATCTTGTAGGTGTTCTTCATTATACAGGCTAATGACGATAGTTAATTCTTTAAAAAAATACTATCTCTATTTCTTCTACTAGTGGGCGTTCTATGACTTTTAATGTTTCAATAATTTGCAAATGGGTTCTTTCAATGATTTATTTTTCAAAGATTTAATTTTTGTAGGACGCTTTTCTTTGAAATGCAGTTTAAATATTGACAGCAATTAAATTATACAGCTGATCAAAATTTAAACAATTATGATCTTCATAAGGATAACATGGGAACCTTCAAAGCCACTGGGGTAGAGCCCAAGGGACTTTTTCAAATCCAGTTCAAGG